ACACGACGTGGACCAGGGTGTATTACAAATACTGGCACTTGCCAAGGGCGCAGAAGATCGTTAACAAGTGGATGCCTGAAGTTTCGGTGCAGGACATCGATAGAAACTTCAGTCTAGTGATATTGGGAAACAATCACGTATTCGGATATCCGAAACCGCTGCTGCCAAATGTAATCGAGGTTCACAGTCTCCAAATCACGGGAGAAAGCGAGACCTTGCCCAAGGTATCGACGGAATTTCTAAACTTCCCCGTTAGACCGTAAAATCCTGCTATTCCTCGCTGATATATCGGCGAACTTTGCCAACTTGGAAACGCGACGTTCCCTGAATTTTTACGCGACACATATCGATATGTATCGATTGGTTCGTCGATCGTCCGACGACGGATCGAGAACGGGGCGTCGCGAGACCTAAATTCGGTCAACGATTACAGGTATTATTCCTAGCGGGACGCGTTATTTCGCGCAGCTTTGCCCAGCAAGGGGTAGAGCTCTGTACCGCGAGCAGGGAGAATGATTTCTCCCGGGGAAAATACGTAGCATTCTCGCAGGTAACCGGTATAGGGGAAAGTTTACCTACGGCTCGGCATTGCGACGCGAAACTAAAGGTCATTGCTATTTACCGTCGCTCGTTCTACCTTTTACCCACCGCCCCCTACTGTCGGGGAAAATATTTTTCGAAAGGTATTTCCAGCCTCCCGATTCGTTCCCGCCGACAAGAAAAATCTAGATCCCCGAGTCGTCCCAGACGCCACCGATTCTTTCTACTTTCCTCAACGACCGACGCCATTGCCGCCCCGTGACCCGAGATACCCATGAAAATTACCCGACGCATCGTTCATTCGGACGTTGATGCTCGTTTTTCCACACATTTCGGAAACTCGATTGCCACTAATGCAACGTAATCGCTATTCACCTGCTCGTTTACCTCGTTAGGTCGTTGCTAGACTTTAATAAACATAACCTCTTCCATTCCACGCGATTTGCTAAGCATAGTTCGGTTCTGATCGCATCAACGTCCTAACTTCTGTCAAGTTCGACATTCGTCGTTATTTTTCTCGCGCTTTATTCCTCTCTCCCTATCGAATCCTCGAGAATTACTGGCGACAGGATATGATATACCTGATATAGATGCGAAGGGGACCACAATTCGAAGTAAAGTTGTAGTAAATCTAAATACTAATATAAACTCTACGTCCTAGCGATGTGGGAACGATCCCTTCTTTTGCGTTTTGCCTTCTGTCAACGCGTGTCTTTCGTCCCCCATTTTCTGGAGACGTCTCGTGACCTACGCGGTCCTAAACAGACAGGCTAGTTCTAACCATTAGCCCGTTTGATAAACATCTATACAGTTTTTCCACCATTTTCACTGACTACTATTTCTCTGCGTTATAACCCCTTAGCATCGAGATATCCAATTTGAGACTAAACGCGTTGATGATCGTAGGACATCAAGGAATTCCTGGACAAGGCGGAAGACGGGGCGATCTATTTCTCCCTAGGCTCGAACCTGCAAACTCATCAGTTGCCAGTGGGCCCTTTGACCGCATTGTGTAACGCGCTGGGCTCACTGAGGCAAAGAGTTCTATGGAAACACAGCGGAGACATGGCCATTCATCCAGCCAACGTGAAATTTGTGAAGTGGGCACCCCAGCAAGCGATTCTCGGTAAGGCTGCCGAAGTCTAAGCTGACCCTTCGCTTCCTCGCGGCTCCTTTGAGCGGGGCTCAGATTGACCGCTTCGGGACATGTCCGTTTTATAGCCAGGCTTCTGGACCTGGTCCGCGCGTGCACACACGAGGATCGTTATTCCAACGATGGAACTCGAGATCGTTAACGCGGTTAATCGCGTCGTAACGGACGGATGATTTATGTCTCAATTAGGTTATTATTTCCCGATAAGCTCGTGAATGGCTCGTCTGAATCGCGATGGTCGTTGCGTACGTACAATACCTTCTTTGACAGTTACTCGAGTTCGTCGCGAGTCACGAGCCACGAGGCTGCTGCAACGTGCTCTTTCCTCCCGTGCCTTTTTCTCCCGAGAAAATAAGAAACTTGGCGCGCGATTGTCTTCGTTACTCCTGAGTACGTGTTTGTTCGTTAATTATCGCATTTCCGTTTGATTTACATACACAACTCGTCAAAACTCGTCGCGACGGTCTGTTCGTTAAACAGGATTCAACGGCGAGCAGAGGCGAGCACAGATACTTAATGAAGTTGCTGCCGACTTTGCAGACCCTTTCATTTGGAAGGGATGTTAATTTTCTCGGGTAGCCAAGTGCTCTGTAACGACCTCGTCCACGCTCATTTTTAAATGATCAAATGCAAAATGCGATTCGCGCGCGATATAATTTCGTCCCGGTGCTTTACTCCTGTTTTGCGTGGAAAAATACCACGCGTTGCGAACATTCGGCACATTTCGAGTAAAATTCACCGGCGAACGTGTCTACGTGTCCCGAATGAATCCTACGTAAATTAATTCGCGAAAGAAAAGGGAGGGATATATACGTATCTAGCGTCGAACGACGTCGTTGTTACGACGATTAACCGGAGATGTATGCACCTGGGTGGAAAGTAGGCGGCGAGACGCGATGGCGGAAAAATATACGACGATACGCTATTGATTCGGGGAAATGGCGATTTCGACGATCCATAGCGAAACGAAAAGATAACTCATGACAGGGCAGGAAAATTCTCACGGGAAATTTTGACAAACAACTCCGCATCGTTGCCGGTAACGCCCAGACTCGATGCAAATGCAACCAAGCGCAAACTTTCGTACACATTGACAGACAGGTTACGTTTGACACCACCACCCTGCAGCCCTCCCTTCCGTAGAAAACGTATTAAAGGTGGAAATGCGAAATGTAACTGCTGGGCGCCATTCGAATAATGAGAATTTCAATTCAATTGCCTATTACGGTTCACGTAGTTCCAAAATTCGACGCGGCGGATTTCAATAAAACTTTCCTCTCGACGTGGGGTCGTTTCAATCTTCTGACCATTGACAATGTTTGCCATTTGATGATATCGCGCCGTCGAATAATCGTCGTTTTGTCGGTCACGCGTGACAAATTTACCATCAAAGTTTTCCAATTTTCCAATTTTCCGAAGTTCAAATTTTCCAATGTATCGAATTTTCAAACTTTCGAATCTCTGAAATTTTAATTTCTCATATTTTCGAAATTCCGAATTTTTCCACTCTCTAATTTTCCGATTTTCGATATTTCGAATCTTCCCTTTTTTGAATTTTCAAACTTCCGAATTTCTGAAATTTCAATTTTCCATAATTCCTAAATTCCGAATTTTCCAACTTTCCAATTTTTGAATTTGTGAATTTTCCCATTTTCCCATTTTTGAATTTTTGAAATTTCAAATTTTTAAGTTTGTAGAAATTTAAACGTTACCATCTCGTCGTCCATTATTAAAGCACGGTTCTACGCTTCTACTATGCAATACGCGAAATAGAATATTAAAATACACATACTTGGCGCGCGATTGTCTTCGTTACTCCTGAGTACGTGTTTGTTCGTTAATTATCGCATTTCCGTTTGATTTACATACACAACTCGTCAAAACTCGTCGCGACGGTCTGTTCGTTAAACAGGATTCAACGGCGAGCAGAGGCGAGCACAGATACTTAATGAAGTTGCTGCCGACTTTGCAGACCCTTTCATTTGGAAGGGATGTTAATTTTCTCGGGTAGCCAAGTGCTCTGTAACGACCTCGTCCACGCTCATTTTTAAATGATCAAATGCAAAATGCGATTCGCGCGCGATATAATTTCGTCCCGGTGCTTTACTCCTGTTTTGCGTGGAAAAATACCACGCGTTGCGAACATTCGGCACATTTCGAGTAAAATTCACCGGCGAACGTGTCTACGTGTCCCGAATGAATCCTACGTAAATTAATTCGCGAAAGAAAAGGGAGGGATATATACGTATCTAGCGTCGAACGACGTCGTTGTTACGACGATTAACCGGAGATGTATGCACCTGGGTGGAAAGTAGGCGGCGAGACGCGATGGCGGAAAAATATACGACGATACGCTATTGATTCGGGGAAATGGCGATTTCGACGATCCATAGCGAAACGAAAAGATAACTCATGACAGGGCAGGAAAATTCTCACGGGAAATTTTGACAAACAACTCCGCATCGTTGCCGGTAACGCCCAGACTCGATGCAAATGCAACCAAGCGCAAACTTTCGTACACATTGACAGACAGGTTACGTTTGACACCACCACCCTGCAGCCCTCCCTTCCGTAGAAAACGTATTAAAGGTGGAAATGCGAAATGTAACTGCTGGGCGCCATTCGAATAATGAGAATTTCAATTCAATTGCCTATTACGGTTCACGTAGTTCCAAAATTCGACGCGGCGGATTTCAATAAAACTTTCCTCTCGACGTGGGGTCGTTTCAATCTTCTGACCATTGACAATGTTTGCCATTTGATGATATCGCGCCGTCGAATAATCGTCGTTTTGTCGGTCACGCGTGACAAATTTACCATCAAAGTTTTCCAATTTTCCAATTTTCCGAAGTTCAAATTTTCCAATGTATCGAATTTTCAAACTTTCGAATCTCTGAAATTTTAATTTCTCATATTTTCGAAATTCCGAATTTTTCCACTCTCTAATTTTCCGATTTTCGATATTTCGAATCTTCCCTTTTTTGAATTTTCAAACTTCCGAATTTCTGAAATTTCAATTTTCCATAATTCCTAAATTCCGAATTTTCCAACTTTCCAATTTTTGAATTTGTGAATTTTCCCATTTTCCCATTTTTGAATTTTTGAAATTTCAAATTTTTAAGTTTGTAGAAATTTAAACGTTACCATCTCGTCGTCCATTATTAAAGCACGGTTCTACGCTTCTACTATGCAATACGCGAAATAGAATATTAAAATACACAGTTCCTATTTAAATGTTTCGAAATACCTACTCCGTTTTTCTTTTTTTTTTTTTTTTTCATTTTTAATCTACTGTTTTCCATCTGCTTTCTGGCAAAGTCTTAAAGCTTGTAATACTCGCAGCCGGATAATCCATAAGGGCGCTGCTTTCCCTCAGCTCGATCCGCGATACTAACGTTACTTTTATATACAGCACATCCGAAAGTGATGGTCTACGTGATGCAAGGTGGATTGCAGTCGTTGCAAGAGGCGGTATACTATTCTGTGCCGGTAGTCGCCATTCCCTTTTTCGGGGATCAACTTTTCAATGCGCGTAAAATTCTGGATGCAGGTATCGGACTTACGCTAAACATCGATACCATCACCGAAGAATCCGTCGTACGAACTCTCGTCGATGTTATAGAAAATAAAACGTGAGTAACTACCCTCCATCCAGCGATTTTTGCAAATTTGTTAAAACCGTATTTTTTTCTTCCTATTTAATCGAATACAGAACGAGTACAGATCCAATATATGAAATACTATGCTTGCAGATATTATAACAACATCAAAGTCATGTCGGAGATTATAAAAGATGAATTAGTAAAACCAATGGACCGTGCTGTTTGGAACGTGGAACACGTTATTAAATTTTCCAAATCGAAACATTTGCGTTATCACGGCCACGATATGTCGTTGTTAGATTATTATGGAACCGCAATGATACTTATCTCGCCGTTAATTTTATTATGCTGCGCTTATGTAATACTTAATAATCCGAAAATAACGAAACAATGTTTCTCGATCAACTATACGAAAGGCCGAATTAAGTCTCTTTCAAAACCAAAGTTGCAATAGTTAGAATATTTTAAATTGAAACAAATAATATAATATTGCGAACATGCGGTTTTGTATTAAATTTTGAAGTAAAGGTTATTAAAATCCGTTGTAAAAATTGCACGATTTACTATTATACATCTAACGAAGCTCACATAACGATTCGCAACTGTAGAAGTATCGTTAGAAGATAAATAAGGGAACGAGTTATCATTATAAGAGAAGCTTAAACTGTAATACCGTCGAGAATATTACAGATTACCCTATGATGATAAATATCATAAGAGAAGCTTAAACTGTAATACCGACGAGGATATTATAGGTTACCTTATGATGATAAGAATCATAAGATAACTAATCGTTTTTAAGTAGTAATAAATTTCTATTAAATTTATATTTTGTACATAGGTATTTTAGTTTATCAATCCATCTTACAAATTCTAACTTTCTAATCTCTAATTTAAATCACGAAACTACTTTGCATCGCTAAGTGCAAAACCATAATTAATCATTTGCAACATTAATCATGAAGTGTAATTTGACTAATACGATGGATTGATATTTATATTAACCAAGAATTGAACTACTGTTATTACTACTTATACGATTAATGACTGATACAAACACAGTTACTATACTGAACAAAAATTCTACATAAAACATACAACCACCCATTCGTGTCGACTCGGATTTTTCATCCTACGACATGATTAAGAGGTTGTAAAAAATAAAAATGTATACGACTCACATTAGATGCGAAAAACATCTGATGGCTTCATTACAAAATCTCGTGGAGGAAACACTGAATTTAATACCGAGAACGTTTAAAAGAGGAAAAACACATTTTCACAAAAAGATAGAAAACAAATACGAGACTGTTAAGACGCCCGTTTAAATTCACAGCGAACAAACACTGACTCGACCGACCGCATTGCACGCGGCCACAAAAATTTTTTAGAATTTGTCCGAAACGCTTCCTCATTCTGCCGAGTGATTGTTGAGAATAATGTTGCAATTTTCCTGAAATCACCAAATAATTATTATTCATTTTTCATTCGTAAATGTATTATAATCAACGCAAATTATTAATTAATTTAATCGTATTGAAATGAACAAAAATTGTTATGTATTTGAAATAAAGGAGTAAGGTTGCGTCATCTTTTCCAACACTACCTTAGTATTTATATGTATGTATGTATATGTGTATGTATATTATAAACTACGTAACTATAAATTTAGAATCACGTATTATAAAGCAATTATTAATTATATGCAAAAAACTACAAGTGAATCAACAAAAAATGAATATAAACGAATACATACGTTTATCACTGTTGTAATAAATAAAATATTTCCAGATTTTCACATGACGCAATCAAATTGACCGGTAATCATCATGGCGTCCATATTATAAGACTGCATCGTTTCGGAACCACTTTCGTAAATGGTCGACGACCTGTACAAACGAGAACCAAAGATTTAAAACAAACATATTTGACAGAAAGCAATTACGTTAAAATGAAAGCATAATCCAACTCAAGTACCTAATTTCTTCAAGACTGATGAAGAAAATGCTATACGACGTTTCCTTTTTCTACTTTTTAACATGTTATACAATTTCGCTATGTAGCACGTTCTATTATATATCGTAAATGCAACTAAAAGAATTTTCACTTTCATTCTAACGGTATCCGAAAAATCACTTGAAAAAGGAACATGCACTGGTTAAATGAAACGAATAATATGTAAATGATAACAAATTAGCAATAGATACGTTACAAAATTAATTTATCGCGCACTTCACAGTCACAATTGGGGTAGGATACGTCTTACCGCCACGACGTCCGATAGCACCTATACATATGACGTCTCACGCCACGGATTCGCGGACCAATTAGGAAGTAGATACGAAGGTTCCGATACCTCTCCCTTGCAAAGTCGCAGGACACATAAGAATGGCGTAGAAATTTCTAGATCATCGAAATTTGTGAACGTGGGTCAGCCGGTCATAAGAAACATCTAATGTTTTGGTCAGGCTCGACCGACGATCATCCACGAACACTAATATGCGATCTCTTGGAGAAATATAGGATGTTTTTATATAGCGAGCACTGGCTTTAGTTGTTTTGAAACATAATAACCTTATTCTCCCTTAGAGAAACTGCGTGCTACGTGACTTCGACAAATGTAATTGACAACCGTGAAATAAAATAGTTCTTTCACGAAAAATTTTAAAATTATTAAATTATTTTGTTATTCGAACATAAAATTTGAAATTACCGATTAGAAATCACTCAATTTCTTCAAACTAATGTGTAAGAATTCTATCGAAGTGAAAATAGAAATAATATCATACATATACAATTAAAACAATTTCGAAAATAATAATGACGACATATCAGAATTGAAGGAAGTCGAAAGACTTCGTTTGCAATTACAAATAAATTCTTGGTCGTTCCAATCTGTATTTTATCTGTAGCTTTATAATTATATTTAATTTTAGCTTGACTTACCATTTGAATTCCGATGGGGTGCCATAGTCCATAGCAAGATCGGTCACGTCGAGCACTCACGTCCGAACGCTTCGAAGAATAACACATAACTGACAATGAGACAGAAAGCATCGGCGAAAATTTACCACGATCCTGTTCGAACCTGACAATGTTTACATTGATTCCTGACCCACGACTTTTACCCGTAATACTTGTGTTTGACTCGATCATTTACTACAAGTCTTACAAGGACAGTGCAAGTCCAACGGGTCACCGATTTGGTTCAAATTTTGCAAGTTTGTAGATCTCGTCATGCAATTTAAGAAAATATATCATTATAGGGGCAACTACTCGGTAGTTTTTTAGATATTTATGTTACAGTTTTATTACGTACTTAATTACACATTTATTTACAACAGTTCATAAGTCCAGTTGTGGTTTAATTAGGATAGTCGAGAATTCGTATGATGTGGAACCTCGGTTCGATTCCGGTTTCATACAAGCAGTTTTTTTTTTCAATCTATTTTTTATATTATATTAATTTTTCGCCTATGAAAACATTGTAAATAAAATTTCTTAATAAAAAAATTTATTTTTTACTCTTTCTTATGCTAGTATATATTTATTACTCAATCATAAGAGTATTATGCAAGAAAAACACATTTTTATGGCAATGTTATTTGCTAGTAACTAATTATTAAATTAAACATTGTATAAGTATTTTGCCTATAATTCCAAACTTGACTGTGTAGCTATAAATGTTCATGAATTAATTACAAAAACTTGGAAATTTATTAATTTTCTACTGTCGAATTGATTTCTAGTATCTAGTTCGAATAAAAATTTTACCGCCTGCGATAGGCGATAGTGCCTATATGGCACTGTTTATTATGTCGTTAACAACTTTCAAAGTGAATAAAAAGTACCTAAGCATATAACCATTACAGTTTCATTTTCTTTTTACGAATAACAAAATCACTCATCTTCATCTGTGACTTCATGTTCGTCTATAATTAATTTATCAACTTTTAAAATTGCATTGTAAAGGCACAACCTTAGCAAGCTTTGTAATATAATTCTAGATATGAATTCCTTGTTACTTAATTCATTATTGATGATTATTGGATAGAGTGTTTGAACCATTGCCGAAAATACTAATGGTTTGTCTTTCTATTAGGATAATGGAATAGCTAATAATTTCAGTTCATAAATTAATTATAGAAATTTGGAATTTT